GAGTACGGCGACGGTCACTTGTCCAACACGGCGGGTTACTACTCGCCCAGTATGACGGCGTCACTGGACCAACACGGCGGCGTCACTTGTCCACACGGCGGCACCCTGTCCACACGGCGGCGTCACTTGTCCCACGGCGGCGTCACACTTGTCCACACGGCGGCGTCACTCGTCCGTCGCGGCGGCGTCGCTCGCCCGTACGGCGTCACTTATCCAACACGGCGACGTCACTTGTCCAACACGGCGGCGTCACTTGTCCAACACGGCGGTGTTACTCGCCCAGTATGACGGCGTCGCTTGACAACACGGCGGCGTCACTTGTCCAACACGGCGGTGTTACTCCGCCCAGTACGGCGGCGTTACTTGTCCGTCTGCGCCACTCGTCTGTCCTCGGAAGTTGAGCGTCATTTGGCATTGTCCTGGCACCAAGCATGACGCCGGCAAGTGCTACCACTACGGGCGTTTTGTGAGGTGAAGTTGAGATCATATCGCTTGCGAGCTGGAGATGAATACTTATAACTCAAGGCGATAACCGGTCGGGCATTGTGCATGCTAATGTATTACCATGTTTTATTTATGGTGGCATTCTTAGGCCATGACTACCTAGACATAGTTCTCAGAATGTGAGGGCATATTTGCATTCATTATGCTTCTAAACACTCTATCTCCTTCGGTATGTCATGTTGAAGGCCTATCAGTGCATCAATCTTGGGTATCGAGAAGGATGATTCTCCTTAAGGCATAAAAGCACTATTACACCCGCAGGCATGTACGTGATAACACTGGCAATAGGACAAATCGCATCTGACGGATACGCTGGGAACGCGAATGCATGCCTGATGACTTGTGCCGAGAACGTGGAGGCCGAAGTGTGTCTGTCCTGCGTTCTGACCTTGGATGAGAGCTTATCCCTACTTCAGAGCTCACGGGTCGCTATCGCCACAAACAGCATATGGTATGCTGTTCAACACAGCCACATATACCGCCGACAGCACTTCCGTGTATTTCAACCAATCACTGGCATTGAGTGAAACGTTAAGTTTTGTGAAAGCTTGAGTGTGCGGCTGCGTCGTACCACGTATGAAACGCACAGAATGCGAATTGAAGCATTCGTGAAATACGTTAGCGGCATTAATGACACGAAAGAGGTATGTCAATTACACAAACAACATTAAGAGTTGCAGTGAGTAGGAAGACACACGGAAGAACTGCTGTCAATATGCAGTGCTCGGTGGAAAAGCGTTGGAAAATAACCCACGAGCCACGCCATCGATATCCTGCCCGCTAACCAAATCGTTATTCTTTCATCCAGCGAGTGCTTTACGGCATACGTATCTCAAACGGCGCCTAGCTCAAGGTGATCGCTTTAAAACGGCTGTTGCAAGTTGCCTACATCTTATCGTCTACAATAAACAACAGACTGGAGAATGTAATAGTGTCAAAAACACGCTTTTAACTATCTGCTTATGGTTTCCTCCAATGACCTCGAAAACAAGCGAGTACCACATCATTTCTACCATATTCCGCTGACGTCGGAACTGGCTCGCATCACTAGGCACCTTCCCGTAACCACTAATTTCTGTCTAACGAGCCGGTCCCTTTGATATGCATCCTGCTTCTTTCTCCACCAGCACCAGTTTGTGCCAAAGTTGCCGAAGTTTACTGATCTGTTTGTATAATAGATGGGGGCTTGCAAAACCGGGAGCCACGAGTTCAAATTGTTGTTGATCAGCTGGAGACCAACAATGATGCAATCACGTACTAAAGTGAGCCCACGGTGCTTATCGCAAGGGCCATCTGTAGCTTTCAGAAGGTGATCCACCGCTCAGATGTGCGGTGATGTGTGCTCCGCCACTGCCCCCATCAACACAACTACTGATGTGTAGCGATCCGGGCAGCACGTTCCTAAAACTGATCGTGAGTTTCAGTCCAAAGTAAATGATCTTTCTATATCGGTCACGTGACCTTCAAAGCCGGCCACTTCCATCCTCTGAAGCGCACAAGGTGCCTGTGCCGTCCGAACCAATGCCACAATCTGCATAGTCTGTACATAATGTTCGTTAGCCATTGGCGATTGCTTCTTAATCTTGTTGTCACAGTGATTTCTGTTACACAGCACGACGTTGACCAGCCCGGGGTCACTACCGACTTACATGCCAGCTCTGACATCTGGTGATTTTTTAAGTGGCGTAAAATAACCCTCAGCGGTCTATGGTCGTGCTCAGTGTTCCCCCTATCACAGGCATGTGCGGTCTGACCACCTTCGCCATGTCGACCTGCATTTTCGCCGAGCTCGACGAGTTACCTTTAATGCCCCCCAAGACCTTCAAGAGACAACCCCATGTGACCTTCAGCGACCTCCATACCTCCCAGCGGACCACCGTGAACTTCCTTCAGAATGCACCTTTCCCGGTTGAGCCCATTCCGTCACGTAACATTAACCCTTAATGACCAACAACGACCTTCATTGATAACCTAATGTCGGTTGGCAGCAGCAGCGGCCAAATCGGTCTTCACACGTAGTAATCACTGACCTTTAGTGATCGTCAGCGACCAGCAGTGACGCGCAGTAAGCTCTCAAGACCCACCTCCGGTTCGGGCCTCTCTCGGCGGCGCTTATGCTCGTGTCCGGCCTCTTCGGCCGAGCCGGCAGGTCAAGGTCGAGCGGTGGCAGGTCAGCCGTGTCGTAGTCCTCGTAGAACTGCTCGAACGGATCGGGCGTGACCTCGCCGATGTTGCCCTCCGGCTCCGCCGGCAGCACGGTCGGCTCCTTGGTCGGCGGGAACGTGATCGACTGGACCTCTTTAGCCACGATCTGTGGACAGGGGTGGGAATGCCACGGCTGCGGGACGCTGACTGCGGTGTAGGTTTGTGCTGTGGAACTTCTGACGTATCTTAAACGTCTAGCTCGAAATCCAGCTCCAGCGGGTACGAACTAGGCTTGTGGGTGTGCTTACGACCTGCTGTTACCAACATCACCCTCGGACGACTAGCCAGGCCTAAAAGGTCGAGCGTTGTCCATAATTGAAGTTAACGAATTAATTGAACACCACAATTGCGATCGGCCAGCAACGAGCTCTTTTGAGAAATTAACGCACAGCCAAATGCGGAAGAACAACATATAACATAACCAATGTCTTATCGTTGGCTGACCTTCTTCCATTACACCCATAGACGCTACTCCTTCGCAAAACCCACCCCATAATGACACCCCTCTCGCCCACCCCTGCGATGACGCCCCTCCCAACCGTCCCCATGATGACGCCCTCACCCGCCCCCTTGGTGACGCCCTTGCCACCGGTGCCTGCAACCCAACTGCGGCACGGACCTTGCACTTGACGTTCCTGGGGAAGTCACAGGAGTCGGTCTGCCTGTTGAAGAGCAGGCCGGACGGGCAGGTGAAGCTGTGCGGCACGATGCCAAGGGGGCCGCCGGCCAGACACCAGAAGTACTTGTTACACTCCTCCGGGTGGGCGAAGAAGCCCTCCCGCTTGCAGTTGAAGCCTGCCGGGGCGTAAGGCACGGCTCGGTCAAATCAAGACCGAGAAATGCTGTGGGTGGCGTCCGACGAGATTATTCTGACCCAGCGGCGGCATATCTGACGTGGGGTGTGTTTAATATTATTCCTATCATGCAGCAATAATTGAGACGATTTTAGGACGAAAGTGACTTTCACGGTTGCTGGTTTCGTGGGTATGCCCGTCGTTAAGAGCAAGGAAACACAAACCATCTGCCCGGGCGTCTTGCCCGGCTAATGTATTGACGCCATGGCCACGACTGTTTTGCGTCATGACGTCACAAGCTACCGTTCGGCGAGCCAATGGCAGCGCTAGAAACGCAGTGCGTTCGTCACCTGCTCCGGGGTCCGGCGTCGCCGGCGGGGGAGGCGTCGGTCCCTTCGCTTGCTTCGGCAGGTCCCTACAACGACAGGGTACTCAGGTCAGTCTACGGACACTTCAGCAGGTCACTGTGCACCTCACGCGAAGAAGAAAAAACTCGCGGGCTGACTTCACCAAAATGCTATCGTTCATGCCGTGCGTCAGGTTTGGCTGCATGTCTGTCGTGCGTGACAAGTATCATGTTTGGCATCATGAGTGACAAATGTTCGTGACCCTGGAACAACCACTAAGCACAAAAACATACATCGGCATGCAAAGATTTGACCAATGCCACACACGGACACTGGTACTAAAATCGCAAACGGAGACCCAATAGGAACTTGCTGGTGGCTTGAGTTAAAACAGCACGTGTTGGACTGTAAAAAAGATAGCATTGCAATTGCCCACCATCAGGACGTCCTACACGCGTTGGTCTTCTGTGTTCAATGCTCAAACTTCTGAACAAGGCAACCGTGACATTTAATATGTGTGGTCGGACTGTGAGCTTCCTCCAAAACCATGCGATGCTTTTGGATGAGAATGCTTTGAATCTTCATTTGTGACTTAAGGGGTTTCATTCCTAAGCGCCATGCCTAAGAAGTCAGGTGATTCCCTGCAGCCAGATGACTGTGTCAGAAGAATTCAGATGCCCCGGTGCCACTGCGTCCGTATGGAAGTCAGATGCCCCGGTCCCACTGCGTCCGTACGGAAGTCAGATGCCCCGGGCCCACTGCGTCCGTATGGAAGCCACGTGCCCCGGTCCCACTGCGTCCCTATGGAGGTCAGATGCCCCGGGCCCACTGCGTCCATACACTTGGGTTTACGTCCGCAGAAGGACAACGCAGAGCAATCACTGGCGACGGGGGAAGTCTATGCGCATCCGGCCATGCCCTTCCTAATTCCGATCACTCGCTGTCGAAGACCACCATCAATAAGAAAACATTTACGGATGGGGTCGGGAAAAACATGAAGCTAAGCGCATTTGGCGGAATGTTAAAGTCGTATGTTCGCTGTTATAATGCTAAGTTAACAGCACAATATACTCGTGCATCGAATCGCTGACCACTGAACCATTACAAAAAGACCGAGGTGTTTCCTGAAGGAACGGAGACCAAGTAACGAGTACTTTTCTGTCAAGATTGCAGCTTCACTGATATAATATTTTAAAAAAGCACTCTTAATCAACCTACCGGACTTATATGTAGGCGTTAATAGTCAGCGCATAAGCCAAGTAGCAATCAAAACCAGCTTTAATTGCCGCCAGTGAAATTCGGGCCCTTTTGATCCGGATTGTACGGGTGGATACGCGGGAGTGCTTACCCTGGAGCCGGGGCTAGGAACGCCTCCTTAGCCGCCTCGATGAGGGGGTACGGCTTGCCAGAGCAGCGGCCGCGGAAGTCGTCGTTGTCGATCGACCAGAACATGATGCCGCCCAGACGGTTGTCACGCACATATTCTGCCTGAGGACGACCAAGGGTGTGGTGTCGGAACAGGTGGGGATGGAACCTGTTGTCAGGATGATTATCTTACACGTGTTTTCTGTGGGACGCCAAAGATGGTCAGATAGGCAGGGAAAGAACATGGTGCTGCCGAGATGACTATGTTCCGTCAGTGGAACGTACGAGGCTCAAGATGGGATGCCAAAAGATGGTATTTTTCAGTACCTTCAGCCAGAAAAATCACTTAGGTCGGCCAAGCAAGGAGACTCAAGTTTGAAATAGGTTCGACGACACCAAAACGGTATCTCTCATGCCAACTCCTTTTTTGGGTAGTGGACTTATTAGCTTACCAAAGTTTACTAATAGCTCAACATCACACCCGATAACAGCCCTTTTAACAGTGAGCATAGCACTGGACCTCATGCCTTGCCACACTTCAAACCCACTGCTGACATCGTTCATTATTAAAACAAACGTCTTACTTTTTATGGCTAATTCGCCACCCATCCGTGGATTTACATCCTTTTTGTGTTGAATTAGTCATTGCAGTATTGTAGTTACCTCACTTTTCTCGATAGATAAGTCACCGCACCAGCGACTCACCTTCTTCCTGGCGATGAACTCGTCGTCGTAGCCAACCCACTGCTTGCCGCTGGTGGCGTACGGGCCCATGGCGTCGGGGTAGGGCCGGAACACCTTCCACTCATCCACCGCCACGTGCTCACAGATCTGCACAACCACCAGACGCCAGCGTTATTCATTTGTGTATGCGTGCGCTCCATACCGCACAGGTCCGCTGCTCGTCTCAGCGTCAACGCACTTCGGGTACAATTTGAAATACGTGTGGGGGTGGGGGGGGGGGGGGGACATGCGGCAGCATTGTGCAGCGCGTAAAACAATCCACAATTCCATCCGACGAAAGGGCGGAGGTAGAATAATCCGGTGAACTGGACGACACAGCCTGGGTGGTGGGTTCTGGATAAACGCGGCGGGCCATGTCTGACAGGTGCTCTGCGCCTGAAGTCACTCATGCAAACCATGCGGAGTATTTGTTATATCTCGATTTCCCTTTTTCTCCCAGGAATAAGGCCATTACAACTGTCTCATCTACGGGAATATTTGTTTCTTTAAATATCGTGGATAGTTAAATAACGCGTGGTGATTTGTCATAATTTCTATCAAAGCGCTCCTTTATAGGACTTGTCGACTACGCATGCATGCTACGATTAAGTTTATAGGACTATCATCTGTCTGACATGAGCTTGTTCGGCGTTTGTCAGTAGACGCAGTGCGCAGGAATGAACGTTAATGCCGAACACACAAACATACACAAATGCTGTTAAAAAAAAAGTGAAATGAAAAACGACAATATCGTCAACACATTACCCATCGTAATGCATACACGCAAGAGAATACGTGCCACGTTTTGTTCTTCGGTCATGCATGGCTCGGTGCGACTCAGGGACACTGGCAGTGAAACAAAGCTTTTCCACCACAGTCTTAGCCACATGTTTATAGCGCATGTAAGCCAGCCCTCCGCGGCCAGAGGGATGGCCGCGCTCAGAGCACTTGGGACGCTCCCCACCTGCCGCAGTGCCTCACCTCGTAGAAGCTGAGGTAGCCGTCCTCCTTGGTGCTCTTGCCCTTGGTGCCGGCCTTCTCGGCGGCCGCCTGCAGACCGCTGAAGTTCTCGTCCAGCAGGGTGTAGGACCTGCCGTAGGTGGGGATGCCCACCACAAGCTTGCGCCGATCGGCCCCCGACTTCAGGTAGAACCGCACCGTGTAGTCCTGAGAACGGATGTCTGCTTAGCACCCTGATACCCGCATACGCATGCCACGGAACGCAGTCCTGCGCGTGCTTGGTGATGTGATGTGGAAGTATGCAAGAGAAGATACGATTAGTTCTTGCCGACGCGGGGTCGTTTTTATCGAACGGCCTACGCGGCGTAAAGGTCACTGCTTGCCGGACATCCTGCCGGTTGATCTGATCAGAATAAAAACAGCTGACCACTGGCAGAATACAGAAGTGATCGCAATCTCTGAAGTTTATTACGGAGAACATAGGGTTGAGCTAGTATTATGTTCCGGTTTTGGAGTTGTCCGTAAAGCTAGAATAAAGTATAGGCCAAGATAAAACGTGTTTAGTATTAGAACTCCTGTGCAGGTTTCAACGACACTGTGAGTGTCAGTCAGAGTGCCAGCGAATAATTTCTGACACGTCATTAGCTGGAGTTTCGTATTTCCCCTTCGACCATGTAAGCTCGGAATGGCTATTTGCGATCTACTTACGGACGGCGCTCCATACCTTCGGCGCAATAAAAAGGCTGTTACGATAAGCCGCAACAACGTACGCATTCGATTGCCTTTTATTTGCGATTCCCCGACACTACAGGCTGTAATGTAACCGTAAAATCGGCTATGTAGAATGCAACACAAGAATCAGGTCTTCAAGGCTCACCACTGGTTCAGGCTCGGATTTCCTTTCACCAGCAATGCGTGAAACGCGGCGGCGCCACTGACCGCTGGCAGTGTGCCTCACTCCGGATTCTCAGATGAGCACACTCACCACGTTCAGCTCGCTGCGGTAGTCGAACTCGGAGGTGCCCGGGGCGGCCAAGAGTGGTGCGTGGTGATCCGTCAGAGCCTCGGTCGAGGCGTGGTAGTCGTACGCCAGGATGTTGAAGAAGTCCACCACACTGGAGCACAGAATGGCGTTGCAGTGAAGTGCTTAGAAAACAATAGCGCATGATTAAGGCAATAACAAGGACGGGCGAAGTTGCGCTCAAATGCAGGTGTTACCATGTCGAAGTTAACAACAGCTAAGTGGCCCACTGGGCTGCGTGTTTTACCAAAGATGAGCATGCTTTCATGACATTCTTGCAACAATCTCGACCCGATGTCGATTAAATAAGACGCAGCGAGAACATCAAGTCGCGGCTTGCTTTTCCGTTTGGTAGACGCAGTCTCGAATGAGCCAGACACCGCAAGCTTTTAATAATTCATTAAAACCTTTGTAAAAGAAACGGCTCGATAAATATGCACACTTGTCTGGAACCCACACATCATCACCGGCATGACATCATCGCTGGAGCAGGGCCATGCAGTCGTGGATTTTGTGGAATTATTTTCGGTCCGAAGATTACAAGGGAATTTCCAAAAGATCGCAACATATGGCATGCACGATAAACGAGGACATAAGCGAATTCGCGGTCCAAATTTCAGCAGAAGTGCCCGTCAAGATTATCACGTTTGCAACGAGAAGTCATTCAGATTTCAGGTCTGGGGAAGAGAAGCCCTGGCCGTTTGGGCATTTTACGTCACCATCATCGTTTGCGTCACTCAGTCAGTGCTTATCCCTTGTGGAATCGGCCAATCCCGGGCCCGATTCACACCGCAAACGCCAAATGCCCGATTCGCCCGACATGCGAACGCCAACCGGGAGTTATGCCTATTGCCAACACTCGAAGAAGCGTTGGCCACTAGCTCTCGCTAGCACCAGCTCTCTCCAGCATAGGCTTCATTGATAAGCTTAGCTTACGTGTATTTATCTGCAATGAATTACAACCATTTGCGTTTTAAACGCACGCTGGCGCAATGTCGATCATACTTTCTCCGTGTGCCCAAGTCGACCTTCACGGCATGGTTCATTGCGGCAGGGATGAGTAAGACGTAACCGCAAAGATGACTTGTGAGTTGCGTTTCCAACCGCGTGCGGAACCGCAGAGAATCCGGGGCGTAGTTCGGTGTGAGGTGTGGAGAGAACGTCAAGTCAGTACGTTGACTGGCTCTATTTTCTGAAGGCGGAGGCGGTGGCTCGCCCCGTAGTAAGAGCCACTGAGTCAGCCACCACCTGTCTGTATCCGGCCCTGCCAGCAGCCGCTCCGTGCTGGATCAGCTTAGGCCGCCAGTCATAATCCCAGCGGCATTTATAATTGAAAATTCCTCAGGGGAATCTTTGCAACCAGCTGAGAAGGAAGAGCAGCTGCGAAGACGAAAGATTCCTGCCCATGTGTAGTGTCCTTTGTTCGCGATGGTGGCGGCATGGTCTGTTGCAACGAGGCGCGGTGTCACTGATGCGCTAACAAGAAAACTGCTTGCGCAATTAGCTGGTCTTTTCCCTCAGCAGACCACTCATGATCAGATAACCAGACGTCGGAGGACGTGTCAGCATTTTTGGGTGACACGCAGACGTTGAGCACGACCGAGAGACAGGAGAGACTTCCCATTCAGATGGGCTCCCACGCGTTGATACCACCCCGCGGCCAGCGCGTCACGCATGCGTGCCGGTCCTGCTCAGAGGCGCGTGGTAATTCGCACCGAGGAAGAGTCACGAACACTCACGCTTGGGAAGATCACATGTCGCTAAAATTACTCAACACGACATTTATGGAAAAGTGTGAGCAAAAAAAAGTGATGGTGCACTACTGGAAGCATAGCGGGACAACCCATAGCCAGGCGGTCATTTTTTGTGACACCAGATGACACCAGATGAATCACCGGAGGTCATCATGAGGATGAGACCAGAGTGGAATCACAGATGGTAATTTTAAACGATTGGGGCCTGCTAAAGGATTTCTTTATCTCTGGTTTCTCCAAAACACAGATTCTGATTTCATGAAGTACAGATTTTCTAGTTCAAGGCATCACAATCATGAAAAGTTCGCCGCTCCGACGCCATGTCCTCCGTCGTGAGGCTAGTAATTATGAGTCAGAGCTTTAATGCCTGCAGTTAGCGACCTTCAATATACCATGAGGTACTACTGGTTTAGTGACGCTTCAAGAAACAATGGAAAACACACAAAACACTGTCAATGCCCGCAGATTCAAGCTGTACATCACATCACATCATCACATCACCACAGGTGAGATAAAGCGATCGAAGGGAAGTGAAGTGAACCAAGTGAAGTGTGGTCACTCGTGGTCATCAGCGTCGTGTAATGAGCGTCTTGATGCGTCGTGTATTCACAATGCACACAATGTTTGATGTCGTCGTTAACCAGTCCACATGGTATGATGAGAGCAGATAACTGTCAGCATAAGAACTCTTGTCGAAAAAACCCGGGCTCAAGCCTGTCCTGCTTATATCAGCCATGGGTTCTGTCGTAGTCAAGGTTCTCCCATGCAGTCACCTCCTAATGGACCAATGGAAATAGCAAAAAACTTTGCAGAATCGCCTATGGATGCAAAGTGAAGCCTCCTGGCAAGACGAGCCGTAAGAAATAACTTGGAAGAGATGCCCTCAATATTCCATACTTTTGGCTTAAAGACAATTCTTTGTCGGTAGACCCAGTCCTTTTTAAAGCTTGCAGACTGCAAGATTAGCACTCGTGTATGAGAGAAATCACGTCTGAAAACCTGAGGCGCTAGCACACGCTGTCACAAGATACCACCGCAAGAATAGATGACGCTCACGCGTCCGGACAACATGCTCCGCGGAACAGCTTGGTGCAGCCTGCTGTTCCTAGCATGCCGCTCACGAAATCATGCCCATGATGATAAAAGTAAGATTACCGCGATGGAACACTGCAGCGCACTAGGCGTCCTCAAAACTACACGTCGTTGTCACCAGAAGACAGGTAAGCATTTGCTAGGAGACATTTCCCAACAGCACACTGGCGATGTTGCCTACTGACGCTCCCTCCCCCTCCCCTCCCCCTCTCCATTCCTTAGCCCTCCTCCCCAGAAAATGGAAAACCCTGAGTTCACTAACGCGTTGAGTCGAGGCACGTCAAAGCCCTTCTCGATGTTGGAGATACCGGCAGGCACGGCCACGGTCAGCAGCAGCGCGGGACGATTCGTCTGCAGGGACTCGGCCTCGAACGCCGTCCGCAGCTCCTGCAGCCGCAGGCCGAGGGTCAGCCGCCGGGCGGGGGTCAGCCACCGTATGTCAGCGGCTACAGGCCGGGGTTCAGCCGCCGCAGGCCGAGGGTCAGCCACCGGGCGGGGGTCAGCCACCGTATGTCAGCGGCTACAGGCCGGGGGTCAGCCGCCGGGGCCAGCCGCCGCAGGCCAAGGGTCAGCCGCCGGGCGGGGGTCAGCTGGCGGGGTCAGCCGCTGCAGACCGACGTTCAGCCACCGCCCGTTCACCGTTATCATTCTACATTGAATACAGTTCAAACTGGCCAAAAATGCATTGCGTATTTTGATGTGCAATGTATACTGCGTGCGATGAGGAGAGTGCTGCTATGACATGAAATGATGTTATATGCGCGTTGCATATGCACATACAAAGGCGGATATTGAAATGGTATGCATGGACACAGACAGAACCGAAAGCCGCGAACTGGTGGTCAAAGCCGCCGCTGATGTTGTTGACGATCATGTCAACGGCCCCTGACTTCGCCCAGTGGTCGCCTGCCGCGATCGCGGCCTGCGGCAGGCCTGCCGGCGGGCACTAACCTCGCAGAGGGTGGCATAGTTCTCCTTGTCGGTGAAGTCGCTGCCGGCCCGTGACCCCGGGTACTCCCAGTCCAGGTCCAGACCGTCGAAGTTGTACTGACGCAAGTAGCGAATCACACTCAGTGTGAACCTGCGGGGATGACAGAGATGGTGGTGTCACGTGCTGGCAAGTGCACTGAATGATGTGCAAATTGTTCAGTGCGAGATACGTGACGCTGTGGTATGGCGCTTTAGGGATGGAGCTTCCTGTCGGTCACGAACACGTTCCACAAAACGATTGCTTGTTCCTGCGCCTGCGCAAAGGAAAGCGTTTTAAATTAATACGTCGCCTCCGACAGATAGCTGATTCAAAAGCAGTGCAATATCAGTGCAGCGCAGTGCTGAACAGGCGAAATAAATGACGTTTCGTCTCGTCCTGAACCATGGAGACGCGCTGCCGGCTCTGCTGCATGCATTGCGCTGTGGTTCCACCGTCTCGACTGCGTAAACGAATCGACTGACATCCAATTTGCGCTTCAGCAGACCGGCAGTAAAAACAAAGCAGCGTCGTTCGCTAGGATCACGAGGTCAGCTCGGCTGTTTTCTCCGCATGACAGCACAAACACGAACGGGGCCCGTTCGGCCTTGGTTGAACGCGGAACAGCGCGCGCGGTCGGGTCTCCTGAGCTCGCTGTGCAACAATGCAGAAGGTCTTTAGTCATACGTGCAGGCCATCTCGCGGTTTCACTCGTGTGCGACGTTTGACAAAGCCTTTGTGGGCTGAATTGAAACGCATGGTCGTTTAACGTTCTGGATTCCGATCAGGTACAAAAGTTACGAATGTATTAGGCACACTGCACTTACGTATGGCGTTTGCTTTGACGCTCTTTGTCGCAGGCTGCTGCACAACAACAACAAAAACACGTGGAATCGCGTGGCGCTAAAAGAGCATTACTTCCATTATTGCGGCGGTCACAATGTCGGCTCACACTCGGCTCACATTCACAGCTCACGGGTGCGTACTCACACAACAACGACCATCCGCTCCCCACATTGCATGGAATGTGCCCAATGACTGGTCCATAGAGCTCACCACAGTCTAACCGAGGTCACGATGGGTCATTGCCAAACACCTGAGAGGCCACACCGACCGAGAGGTCCCACGACACCCGGACGGGGACGCCCCTGAGCACCGGCAGTGTCCGGGGTGCGGAGAACCCTGCATCGCCCCGCGGGTCACGACCCTTTCCCATCGCCCCGCACACGGCAGCAATGAGGAGCAATGCTCTTCACGTGCGCCGTTGCCGTAGTTCCGCGTGGTGGGACGCCTTCACAGCGGGCAGCACGTCCGTGCTCGTAAAGCAAATAGTACGGGTATAATGGGAGTAATAAAACTCATGTTAGGACGCGGATGTAAGTATGGTGTGCGGCGTGATTTGCACGTATGATTTGCGCGCACATGGTTTTGTTTGACGACTGAAATGTTTGGGTTTGGCATTTCAGCATGTTTCCCATTGTTAACCCTGAATGTAAGCATGAAATTACAAAGCAAGGACATAGATTGCTTCCTCATGGCGCCTGTGAGTTGAGTACGCCTGTTCAGAATCTCACTGCCATTTTGGCTCATGTGGATGGAATGGCAGTGTTCCACACTACGATCACACATGTTTCTGAGTGAAATTCACATCAACCGTATGCTTTTTTACTGAAGAGCGATATAGCACGCATGCAGCAAAAAAAGAAGCCACTAGACACTTGCAAGTAGACTTTTGCGCCAACGACCTGGCGCATTAAATCCTAATGTCGGCGACCCTGACGACCCGAAGACCTCGAGGACATTCCAGTGGCAATAAAATGACGCGTTGGCCGCCATGTCCATGACCTTGAGGGCCCGGACTGTCCCGATGGATGTCAAAACGCACTCGCCCGACAACTGTGTTACTAAACCAAACGTCAGTCCTTCACCAGGCGTACTATCGGACCAAACTGCCCCGCGGATTTGAAGGCCACAGGGTTTCCTGTTTGGGAAGGCCGTGCCATGCCAGGAGATCCCCGCTTCACACCGTTTTCCTCCCGACGAACAATGCCGCCAATAACGCCAGGGTCGTCTGCACTGACACTGCCACAGCCACGGTGTGGTGAATGCTGATATATAACAAGATGTTTAAACTAGATTGAGACGATTGGGGCGCGACGCCTCAGCGTGCGCTGGTGCACCTGTTGTGAGGTTTGAGCACAGGTACAAGACAACTGAGGGAGAGATTACTACACGTGCACGTGGTAGTGAGAAAGAAGGAGTACAGTAGGCATAAGAGCACGGGTGAAACGTAAGCAAGATATCACAATCGTTGTTCACCGAGACTGCATGGGATGGGACGTGGCGTCTCGGATGTAACTTAGCATATCTTTACATGACATGTAACATAACATAGCACACTTCATGGATGGAACAGTTGCTCATTCTATCGTCTCTGTCTCATTAATTAGTAAACACACACTAACCTTCCTAGGCGAGGAAGATTGTTAGAACAACCACTCCATCCGTAATACTATTGCCTCGTCTCAATCTGTCCGTAAAACGACAGCATCCTTCGGCAGGGCGTCCCAAGCCCGGCAAGCAGACGAACTGCGCGGTTGGTGCGAGCTTCCTATCTGACTCACGTGCTTCTGTAGTCAGGGTCGGCGACCATCTCGGAGAACCTGCCCGAGCCCTCATTCCATCCTCCAAGCGCCAGCAGCGTGCGCAGGCCCTTGTTGTACTGCTTCAGGCCGTTGAAGCGCGCGTATCCTCCTGTGGGAGCGGGGTCAGGTAAGGTCACGTCCGCTGGGTCCGGCTCTGAGAGCGCAGGTCACGGAGGATCACGTTTGCCAAGTCTTGCTCCCTTGCTTCTAAATTGAGACTTCAAGCCTCATCATCATCTCTGTTCAGTGAACAGGGACTGGTGATGAAGTGATGACTGGCAGTGGCGTGGTTTTGCAAAATGAGTTGGGGGAGCTGAACTGTGAAAAAACTCAACCCACTAAGAGATACGTCAACGTCAGAGTACGCGAACTGAAACGAAACCTCACCCCTGATCACTGGCATCCATCGTGATGCAATAACTGCGAATGTTAGCCATAAATGGCATTGAACTCAGCTAATAGTCTTTAACCTTGTCTGCACTTCCTTTGATATTTAGCCAATCGTTGCATAAATGCTGCGTTCTCAAGATAACACGGCCCTTTAACCTACGCTTTTAAACAACACACGTTTAACTCCGCAACACCTCCGCAACCAGAAATGTTTGTCACGCCACAGTGAGTTCGTCACGGCCTGATCATTGCTGCAACATTGCTCGGTAATCAGCGCGCCCCTGGTCGACGCTGTGCCAGCGATTTCCCACCGTTTCAATGCTCAACAGAAGCGCACGCCTGTGTCTCGTTTGTTCTGCATATGAATCCACTGAGGCTGCTTTTGCAACCTTCCGTCGGTCAGAGATTACCCCGTCACGCAACGGCAGTTCACCGCTTCCCTGCCCCCCCCCCCCCACCCCCTCCCCCTCCACTCTCCCTTCGGTGTATAATCCCGTGGTGAGGACCAGCCCGCCACCTGTTAACCCCGGGGTGAGGAGCAGCCCATCACCTGCTAACCAGACCACCGGCCCGCCACCCTGTACAGCATATCATGTTTGCGCGACGGCCTCGCCGTTTTTGCCGGCCGCCGGGACGGTTCAGCCTGATTGGTCGTCACGCCCGACAGCAGCTGACCGTGGCCGTCGCCCAGCCAACGGCCCGCGCACGCGCACAACCGCGCCCGTCACGCCGAGCGCGTGACGGTCGCGCGCGAGCCGGTCGCGCGCTTTGATCGCGACCAGCGCCCGCGGCGGCCGGGTCGTCTGTGCAATCGCCACCGCGGCGAGGTGGCCGTGGTGGTCACGGGGAGGGGGGGGGGGGGGGGGGCGGGCTGGTCAGAAGCGGCCGTCGACGCGTCCGGCCGACCCCGCCCGCGCCGGCTCGACCTCCCCCTGAGCGTGTCCGGCGGCTTGGCCCGGTCTCGGACCGATTGGGCCACCATATCGCAGCGTGCGTCACAATAGGACACGGCCGAACGTAGGCTAGACTGACCGCGGCATTGTTTGAGGTGGGCGTGGGTTCTCACGTGGGGTGTGTGCCGACATGCTCTCTCGAGTGCGTTGCAGGCTGGGCGCTAGGGCGTTGCGTGCATTGTACTACTGCGGGGGCATTTGTGGGCGGCATGGGCTGCGTCCAGTTACAGTGAGGTATGGCATTGATCAGGCCGCATACAATGAACGGTTAGCTAGATATGTTCCATTGCCCAATGTGGCTCCAGGCAACTTCTGGACGCCAGTCAGCTGACGCCAGGTCATTAATGCATATCGTCCCAACAAAGGACGTGCCAGAAGCAGCACAGTACAGCTCCCTCAAGTCTTTACTTCCATGCCGTCGGTTCCAATCGTCAGATCCCGTCGCCAAGTCCATGCTATGACCGCATTACAGTGCAGAAGGACAGGGAGGCGACAACGAAAGTGCGGAACACGATCCGAGCCGTGAACTCAACATTTTTGTGACTTATTCCGATGAATTCACCCATAGAAATCATTTGCTGGACATCACTTGGATCCGTCCGCGTTGCCATGTCTCCATAGCCGGTCCGAACCACAGACTTATGTTTACCAGCCCGCCAGACAAGCAGCGTCGATGGATCTGCATCGTGCCATGCACCGCTCTAACACGACCGCTTGTGGACACGTCTCGGGGAAAACTGGGAAACACGAACACGCTTCACATGGCTCGGACCCACGACCACCAGCCGCCTTGGTCGGGTCCAGAGCCTGTCCACGGACGCATCAAGCTGGTCTTCGACACGAAGACCGGTTGATGAAGAAGATGACGACGAAGACTTCGGCATCCCGTGATCTGAGCGTTCTCATCGCTCGCGCGTCCCGTCTCACCTTTCTCGATGTCCTGGTACTTGTCGAACGGCTGCAGCTGGAAGTCGTCGTCGAACCCGCCGAAGGCGTACACCAGGTGCGTGCACAGGTAGGGGTTGATGTTGGCCGGTACATACTTGGCCAGGCCCAGACGGTACACCGACCAGTTGGCGTAGTAGCACACTACTCGTTTTCGCGTCTTCTTGATGGCCGCGTCTGAAAAAGTAAAACAAACCGGGCGCGGGTTAGAGATTCCGCTGTGAAAGTGTATTGATTACCGCAGCATTCCTGCTTGATAATGATCCACAGGCTCAGTGCCGTGCACCAACTCGACAGTGCCTTTTTTGGGGAGCTGGAGGCCGCAGTAATTAACACACATACGCAGCACTTTGTGCAGCAGCTGCCGGACACAAACACGAGGCGCTGCGTGAAACCTCACAACAGTCCACCTGATAACTGGACACCGATGACGTCTGCCGTTAAATCGATGGCACCGCCACGCGGCTGAACACTTGACACACCTTGACGCGTCACGTCGGAGTTTATGACGTCGGAATCTGACCGCATCCGCTAGGTGAAGCGTGTTTTTGCGTGCTGATCGCCTGTTTTCGCTCCGTACAAGGAAAACGCCTGCCATCGGCTGCCTTGAGGGACACCAGGACGTGCTCATGCGCCAGCCGGTTTCAAACCAGCTGCTGGCATGGCTCAACTGACTGCACGCGCCGCCTCACTGCCTGTTCAGCATCACATCCGCCACGTGATTTTCCCAAGTAAGCCACTTTCGAAAGAAAGTATCCCGCACCAAGACCAAGTTCGCTTTATGGCAAAAGCCGGCAGTTGGACGCGGATGACTTTCAGGCGTAGGTATACCAGTCCCCTCCCCCACTACCTGTTGTGCGGCAAAACTGTGCGAGCCCCACTCCACAGGCACGAACTACCAGGGTTCTGAGGCCCATTCTGGGTACGCGACCCTGGTTTGTAAAGGCGCTTTTGAGTCATTAACATACTGTTACAAAATTAGGGTCATGACCTCGGCTTTGTTCAAATAGTTTTTCATTTTCTCCTGTCCTTGAGATACCATCTCATGAAAAACAGGATTAAATGTTTTTTTTGCATGGTTTTTTGGTCCGAAAAAGGTTTAAAAAGAATCGCAGTTAGCCGTTAATTGAATTAAGCGCGAGCCCAGCCAGTGGATCTTGGTGAGAAATCGGGAGCGTTCGGCTCTGACAACTAGACCCACGTCTCAGCCTGCCGCTGGCAGCGGCCTGGGAGACCGCTCCCCAGCTGGATCCCGGGGAGCGCCGGAGGAGCGGTCGGTCTGTAACGGTTGTGAAACTGCTCCCCGGCATGACCCGGCATATGGCCGGTCTGTGACGGCTGTCAGCCTGCCCCCGACATGACCCCCGACATTGGCCGCTCTGTGACAGTGTGAAACTGCTCCCAGCGTAACCCCGGCAAATGGCCGGTTTGTGGTGACCGCCGGCCGCCACCTGACCCTGAGGCCGCCGCCGCCCGGTGGGACGGCTCCCACGGGAGGGGGAGCCTGGCGACTGACCACGCCCGGTACCACGTGACAAGGTCCCACCCGGTCACTGGGGCACACCCGGTCACTGGGGCACACCCCGTCACTGGGGCACACCCGGTCACTGAGGCACACCCGGCCACAGAGGCACGCCCGGTCACTGGGGCACGCCCGGCCACTGGGGCACACCCGGTCACTGGGGCACACCCGGTCACTGAGGCACACACGGTCACTGAGGCACACCCGGTCACTGGGACATGCCTGGTCACAGGGACACGCCCGGTCACTGAGGCACACCCGGTCATTGGGGCACGCCCGGTCACTGAGGCACACCCGGTCACTGAGGCACACCTGGTCACTGGGGCACGCCCGGTCACTGAGGCACACCTGGCCACTGGGGCACGCCCGGTCACTGGGGCACGCCCGGTCAATGAGGCACACCCGGCCACAGAGGCACGGCGAGTGCATCCGGTATTATTGCAGCCACATAAATGGGAAAAGTTGATATTGTATATATATACATACATTGCATCGTATTGTATATAAACATATATAGATATACACATAATCTACACAAATTGAACAAATCTCTCAGGACTCGAAGCTATCTCTCAGTGAAACAATGACAGTGCACGAATATACTAGCCCGTATCAAACGCATGAAACGCATCGAACCAAAACACACGTCCAAAATTGATTCCTTTTTTAATTATTGACATTTTGTGGTGGCAAAATGAGTTATCCTGGTCATGATTTAAATCCACACTTGGTGTAACCTGAACTAGGTGCGACCTAAATTGTTATCATGCCCTTGAACCACATTCAAGACAGCATAACTAGCCATGCCATACGCCGGGAGCAAATCAATTGCCTTGACCAATGGGTGAGGTCGATTCTGGTGATCAAATGACTGGCAGGGAATGCATTGACAGTTAGGCTAGCGCAGACAACGTGTCGCAATTTGCCATGTAAGGAAACGCGCGGTGCGTTTCTAGGTCTTGATTCCCATACACAGCTTTGGTTTATTCAATAAAAGCTTGTTTGTGGCGACATATTTTTTAATAGTTTAACGGTCGACAGCTTCCGGGCTTACTATAAATGATTTCATGCTATTAAGTTTTCTGAAATAGCAGTCCAAAACACCCAATATTGATTAGGCATATATCTCATCGCGTGCGCATGCAACGTTGAATGTTTTTAACGCGGATAACTCGCTGAATGTAACGGGGGAAAACCTGTACCTTTTCAGAACCACAGACGGTATGTGAATTCCCGTCTCAAACAATGCTCTACATCCGCACACCCTCACGCGGCGGATAAAGGACAGTCTACAGCATGTCTTTCGAATGATTAACGATTTTCAGTTGATTTGGGCGAGGACTCATAGATAAAAAGCGATTATAATTTGTAAACTCACTGGACGGTTGGCCTGATAACGGATATTTTGCTGCTTCGCTCACTGAGTCAGCACGGCTTCAATCGGGCCAGCAATGACCGATGATTCGTCTCAGCAGGAAATAAGTTCGGAGATGGGTTCAAAACACAACCCACATGTATCTCCAGCAACCTTCCCGAAGCAATCTCTGCATTCATTGTAGCTTAATCTCATTTAATTCAAAGAGCTAACCGTTATATGGGGAAATAAAGGCTACGTTATAAGTAAGCAAAACTTGTCCGTCATATTAAGAGCCGTCCTCTGGGATAAGCCATACCAGCTTATAAATGTTATTATTTTCCATGCACGAACCGGTCACATCATTTCGTATTGCCTAGTATTGCACAGTAGACATCTACCTGATGACCCTCACGACCCATTAACCTACATGATGGCCTATATGATGGATCTGGTAATATCTGCAGCCACAAACGGCGCCACCGGCCGACAATTGGGGTTGTAGGTGCAGAGTACAGATGAGCAGTGGTAGGGTATAGATGGGCTATCACGACCATGCAACACCATTAGTGTAATGCGAATATCATGGTTATTTGAGACGCGACCCCGGCACATCCCCTCCACAGGTGGCGCCGTCCGTGCTTTCGGCCCCCAACCTAGTGACCACGTGACCAAATGCAACATGCCCAAACAGAGCTTGGAATCGCATGAAATAATCCCGGTTACTGCCTTCATCCGCCAGATCTTCGCCTGCATTCCGACACGGCTTGCGAGGCTGACAGACAGACTGGTTTGTGGCGCGCCAAGTTTGTTGCGCGCGCCACTCGCGCCCCTGCACCTCCAGGCGCTGTCACTCACTCTCACCTGTGGTGGTGGAGGCCAGGATCAGGCAGAAGGCCAGAACCGCCCACAGTGGGGGGACCTGCGGACAGAGCGGTTTGTTAGGCACCGTCGGCTGACAGCGGTCACATCTCAGGCAAAGTCGGCCGGCAGCGGTCACATCTCAGGCACCGTCGGCTGGCAGCGGTCACATCTTAGGCACCGTCGGCTGACAGCGGTCACATCTTAGGCACCGTCGGCCGGCAGCGGTCACATCTTAGGCACCGTCGGCCGGCAGCGGTCACATCTTAGGCACCGTCGGCCGGCAGCGGTCACATCTTGGGCACCGTCGGCCGGCAGCGGTCACATCTTAGGCACCGTCGGCCGGCAGCGGTCACATCTCAGGCACCGTCGGCCGGCAGCGGTCACACCGGGCGACAGCGAAGGCTGCGTGTGGTGCCCAGGCGGCACGATCCCGTGACTGATAATAATTTAGATCCCGCGATTTAGCATAAATCCCAGGGTCAAGGCGTTTGAGAAAAACACGCACTAACCAACTGGATTTGTATCAAAAGAGCATCACCTGCTTATCAATGCATTACAAGCACCATGTGAAGCAGTTACTTCACATGGCAAGCCTGCAGATGGGAAGATGGTAGACGACGCCTTCGCATGGCGGGATAATCGCGGTGCCTGACTAAAACTGATGTTGGAGACCAACTCAGCTCCTGGTAGCTGGAGAAAAGTATTGTAACGGAAGCTGATACCGGGTGTGTAAATGCAATGACGTTAGTGTTATGACTTGCGAATGGCATGGTTCCCATGGTTGGCAAAGTTGAAGAGCACAAGTTATCTCCAGCACGATTTTAAATCATGTTGCCTAAAACAGCACAGAAATTGAGTCTCCAGAGAAGTGATTCAGGCGTGAACAATGCGTGATTGAGTGATTCACATGTGATTTATACGTCATAATGATTTTGGTGATTCATAACTTCTTCCGGCGAGGGCCAAACACAGACCTGTAACAAATTCACTTTATCACCGCTGCAAGGATGAGAAAAGTGACAGAAATGTCTTATGCGGTGTGTATCATGTGTCTATGTGATGATACATGTTCATCACTGTCATATGGCTCCAAAACCCGAGCACAAAAGATAGCCGCTGGTCAACAAAAGTGTGGGTAATATGTGGTTCCGATCAGGAACGTCAAAATCTCAGTCTTGAGGATATGGGATATTGATTATTGGACATGCCCAGGAGCAGCATGATGCGCAACTATGTTCTTGAACAGTCTACTAATATTTCAAATATTGCATTTAGTACAAGTGGAGTTGCCTAATTTCTAATTTCTGATAGCGTAACAGTGTAGAGCGGTTGAGCTATTTAGGAAATAACGGTTTCGTTGCACATTTGGAAATATATAGTGTTTTTACACGCATAAATGCATTCCCGCAAATAACCCTCATAGTTGTGTTCTAAGCGAGAAGCGGATCCTGGGATTACGAATTTGGCAAATTCCAGGATCCCGGGATTGACAAAACTACCGGGATTGGCATATTTTGGTGAAAATTTGAGCCTTGGTGGTGCGGAGTTACTTTGAATCGCATTGTTGGAGAGAAGGTGGTGGACACCCCATCATCACATGTTACAATCTGAGCTGGAAGCAAAAAATAAATGCCGATAAACAGTCCGGTGGCGAATAAATCCTACCATAGCCGCTTTGGCCTCTGAGGTCAATCAAAAGAGCCAGACCGCACTTCATGCTTTGTTGTCATTGGGGCTTTATGACACACCCAGCTGCTGAACCTATATGGCGTCGCCTGCCTCTCACCCCAGCAGAAAGAGCCGGTACCGCGGAAACCCAACCGCGTTCCACTGGTTTTTCAATACTTGATGCCATCGGCTATTAAACTTGAGTACGTAACTCCCTGGCGCACAGAAAGACATGCTCCCAACCACATAGGCGCAATATCGCGCTTCAGTTCGGTTTCTCAACCAAAAAGGTTTCGTAAGCCGATCTAAGGCCGAACAAGAACATTATAGGCTACTAATCTCTCACCTGGAAAGCAAAAATGTTTCACCAGAAGTTACCTGATTCCCGTTCACTATCACTCTTAATTATTGTCGTACCCAGTTGCCCAGCCAATGGACCAAAACCGTTGTGAAAATGCACGAAAAGCCGTGCAGACTTCCGTCAACGTTGTAGCCAATGACTGCTTATCGTGATAAACCAGCGCAATCGTCTATTAACAAATCAGCGCGCTAGCAAGAATGAGTGGTGATGCAATCCAACTTTACACGGCAAGCTAGTGACGAATACAGCTATCAGCCGCCTGTTTATTACATGCTAGGCGAGCTTTAAGCCAAGCCCCAGACCCAGGCTGCTGTTGCACAAGCATGTGGCACGCTCTCAGTTCGAAGTTGACAGTTGGGTCAACTTACGGAATCACGTTGCAGTTGCCGAGCTTGTCAGCTGTTTAGAGCTCAGTCGAGCGCTCGCAATACAGACAAAGCGCATCGAAATTGCTTTCGATGTCTTTTCTACACGCGTGAGCTCGCGGTTTATTTCAGCTATTGCAACGTCTGTGGCGGATGCCTGTTGTTCTGTCGAGTGACGCCAACACAGCCAATGCATTGACTTAATCACACGACTTAAAAAAAGAGCTGGACAGTCGTGAGGGAGGCAAACTCCTCACAGACTGAACCAATGAGCGAACCAGCCATTAAGTATCCCGCTGTGTCACTGCAGGCAAAGGCAAATCCAAGGAAAGATTTGCAATGTTCTATTCATAAAGGTGTCGGGCTCCATGTTTTTAAAAGGGATCAGGTCGTTCCACAGCAGCTTATATTATTAGTAGGTGTTTCCCTAGAACAAACTGGGGAAATTCATATTACGTAAAAAACGAATCTTCGAAGTCAATGAAATAAAAAACCGAGTCATTGCAATCCTTCCGCCTTGTTTTCCTCCGTATAGCTGGGAATGAAGAGTTGCATGGCAACAGTAGCCCGACACCGCATGCGCCTGCCATGAAACACAATGAGTGCCCGGAACATGTTGCTCTTATGAATTGTTCTGAATATGCTACAGTCCGTATTGAGACAAAGTTGTAATTTACCACTGTTGTCCTTTTCTCTACGATGACCAGTTAGCGAAGCCTTGAAGCAGCAAAGCACAAACGAAGACCTTCAAAACCAACAATGACTCCATTTGCGGTCTGTCGCTTGCCTCCCTTTCTCCACAGCGCCACAATTTTTCTCTCTGCCGCATCGTTTGCAGTCATTATTCGGACGTCTACAGAACTTTTGGCTGAATGTTGTGACGTCGCAGCGTCCTTGAGCGTCACACGGCGTCTCGCTCCGCTCCGTCCTGCGAAACGCTTCTCGGCACAATGGTGGCTCCCTTCCGGCGCAGCGGCGCTCCCGAGCTAATTCGGTCGGCCCTCGGCCCGGATTAGACTGGTCACCGCACTGCTGACCTCTCGACCTCCAGGCGCGCCCAGGGGCGACGCCGCAGGAGCGCTCCTCGCGCGGTTTACTGCGCGGCACGTGAGACGGCGCTGCTGGATAATTGCGACGCCTTGCTAGCGCTGGGAAGTTGGATTTGTTTCGGGGTGCGGGGGTGTTGCTGAATGGCTGCGTGTTTGCGGAGCGTTTGCCTTGTAAATCAACTACAAGGGCAGCGCAGTTAGTCTTTAACTAACATGACAGTTAATTCGTTAACTAACTTTTACAGAGTGGGCAAAAATTCACATGAACGCAGTATAACATAGTTTGCTAATTAATGCATTTTTGCCATTCATTCACATACCAGGCATTCATTCTCTGTGGTTGGCATCATTTTTCTAATCTTTGATGAAATTCTGGAAAACTTGTGCTTGGGGAAACCTTAGCCACTTGTGCATGTGCCAACATTTCTGTTAATTTTAACGCGAATGTTACGTAAGTATACCATACGATCTAAAGAGCAACATCGCAACATAAGAGCAACATAGCGGCCCCAGAGGCTGCACCCGTAGGTTCAATAGAAAGCTTGCCACATTAAGTTTAGAATGCAATTAACATGGAGAGCATAAGTACGCACGTACGATATAACATACGTGGATAGCATAATCTCGGTTCAGTTTTCGACTTCGACCATCACGCTGTAATACGTCCGGCACCACGTTGTGGTAGATGTGCTACCATACCTAGATGGACACTTAAGCTTAGCAAACTGAGCACCATTCTACAAACTGACGCCTAGAGAAGATTATTTTCAGAATCCGGGTGAGAAGTGACGCCCCGTAGAGCGGATGAGAAGCACTGCGCAAGATATTCAGAAGTGAGGCAAAATCCGCCAGCAAGGGACGACGCACGGATGCGGACCCAGCGGTGCATGCATGTCCCATCTTGCTGCTCCCAGCCACATAACACCTTGCTGGCACCTTGCTTTACGATCATTACTGGATTTCCCATGCCTCGCAATCATTACTGGATTCCCATGCCTGCGTTTTGTTCGGAGGAGCACGACGCCCTCCATTACAGCGGCGTCTCCCTCCTCGCCTCAGCCCGACGGTGACCTCGCGGAAGCAGCAAACACTTCGCGCAAAGGCCAGGTGTATGCATAATTGGCGCAGACGCGGCCGGCCTGCCGGCGCGGCGGCCAGCGCCGGAAGCGGGCTGCACTTTCTCCGGATCAAACGGCGGCCCACCGACTTTAATCCCGTGCAGGTGGTCTGTTTGTTTGCGTTTTTTGTCTGCCAATCCGTTGGAATGTGCGATATGATCAGAGACCTGCGCGCTGCGTGCCGCTTCGGAAGCTCATAGAAGACCTTGCCGCAGATGGAGATCTGCGCTCACGCGCTGCTAGCGCTATTTGCGGAGAGGCCTTGCTGCACGTGCACGTACTGGGAACGCTGGGAGATTGATGAAACGTCCTGGAGCGTTAACCAGCTATATTTAGCGAACGAAAAGTTGTGAGTTGAGATGAGGAGCTCTGTGTGCGTTGCCAGTGCATCAAAGGCAACATATCCCAATAGACTGTGTGTAATTCATGACGCAGTCAGAAGATGTAGTGTCATCTTCAGGTGCGTCAGGTGCGGTAATGACATTTTTAAATCCGCA